CTAGTTGTCAAATCTAGTTGTCATCTAGTCCTCAAAGAGTTTCCAAGTATAAAAAATCATGGGAACATGTTTTTTATGAAGAATTCAAAGATATTGATTTTCCTGTTGAATTAACAGATATACATAAAATAGCTGAGCGATTAAATATTTCTATAAATGAGTATATTCTATTGATGAGTTAAAGCCAGTGATTATTCCTCTTAAAATAACTAAAATTGAGAAGGAGAAACATATTGATTTGTTGTATCTAAAAGAGAAAAATAATGAACATTATTGCTTATAAGATTATTATATGTGGTACAGATTCTCTAATAATAGAAGTGAAAACTAGTGATTTTTATTGGGATATGAAGAGTGACATAGACCATAACGATACATCTGATTATCCAAGGGATAATATTTATAATATCCCATTGGTAAACAAGAAAGTTATAGGGAAATTTAAAGATGAGCTTAACGGTAAAATAATGGCTGAATTTATTGGTCTACGATCGAAATTATATTCCTTCACGGAACATAATTCAGGGAAAGAAGTCAAAAAAGCAAAAGGAGTGAAAAAATCAGTGGTTGATAAAGAAATATGCCACAATGATTTTCAAAAATATATGTCGTCTCAAAAATCTCGTAAGTGTTAAGAGGACGCCACACCACTCGTAATTCGGTTGTAAAAACTGTTTCGCGCAGGACAACTTTTCTCGCATCATAACTATAATAGAATAACCAAAATTTTACAACACATAGAGAAGAATTTTATCTATGTCGTAGCGTTTTTATTTTTTGGATAACATAAATACGATTAAAGTTATTGGTTTGAAAACATTAGATTTTTTTGTATTTTTCAATTAATTATTAAAAATTATTGAGTAGTGTTATCAAAAAAATAACGACGCTACGACACAGATAAATTTCTTCTTTATAGGGATGTAAAATTTTGGTAATTTTTTTGTTAATATTGAAGGAGTAAAGTTGTCCCGCGCAAAACAATTTTTGGCGTGTGAAATTATTGTAAAATAATTTATCTAATTATATCGAAATATTCCCTGGTGGCGTAAAACAGCACAACGTGGTTTCCTCTACTCTATTCAAGCATTCGCGTTTTTCGATATCGGCCCGCACCGTCTGGCGTCTCGACGAATTATTGTGACAGAAATAAAAATTCCGATAATCAGAATTTGATAGACATAATATTATTATCTTGAATAATGAAAATATACTATAGCACTACTAGCATACTATAATAATATAGTATATATAATCAATGGGTATTACAAATTAATTATTTATATTTTATAAGCTACACTTGGTCGTGCCATTGACAGTTTCATCTTGGTCACCACTCACCTTATGACAAGATACGCTGTGGGATTACTACATACTTGTGACTTGTCTATGACTACATATTACGATATTCGTCTAGTTTATACCTAATTGTAATTAATCAAGATCAAAGTGGCCTTTTTATTTTATACATTGTACCTATTTAATTTGTATACACTTGAACATAACTATATCTATTTTTTTTTTTGTGACAAATTTGTTTTGTCAATATGTCACCAAAAAAAATTCGCGCCGTCGTAAAGAAAGGAACCCGATCGGGTAAGACTTCTTTAAAAAAAAAAAAATGAAAGAAGTTCGTAACGGGGTTCGTAAGAATGTGAGGTAAGTACTTTTAAATATTAGCTTCAAAATAAAAATACATTATTTCATGGACATGGACTTATTCATTATAATAATAACAATAATGTAAGTAGACACAAATTATCCTTATTTAGCAGCAAGTCCTGGTAATACATTATAAATTATAATTTATTATTGGTTATAACCTGAATTTCTACCAAATATATTAATTACAAATTTTATTTTTACTTTAGATGGTCTTGTTGGTGAAGACGGTATTTTGGAAATTAAATGTCCATTCGTGGCTAAAGATACATTGAGCGCCACTGAAGCAGTGCAAAATAAACTTGTAAGTCACGTGATTCATTGAATTTTAAAAAAAATGTTTAATAACTACATGACTAACCAATGATGCATTATATTTAGTTGGATTATTGTAGTATTAATGACAAAACGGGTAACATTGAAACATTGAATTAAAAAAAAAATCATAATTACTATTACCAAGTCATAGGTCAATTACATATAACACAACGAAAAATTTGCTATTTTGTAATTCACACAACAAATTGGACTAATATTCAAGAAATAAAATATGAAGAAGAGTTTTGGATTAATAATATGTTAGAAAAACTTAAACTGTAACTATTATTTTTATTATTATTAAATCCATATTTGTAAAAGTATATCTCAAAAAAACATTTTACTTATATTTTTACAGATTTTATTTAGAGTGTATGTTGCCGGAAATTGTTAATCCACTTTTCAAATTAAGACTTCTCGTAACCGATATCAGAGAGCAAATACACATAATACATGCCCAAAAATATATGAAGTCAATGGTTAAAAAAAAAAAAATAATATTGAATGAAAATATAATTATTTAAGTATAAGAAAACAACTTAAAAAATTGAAATGCGTATATTGCATACATTATAATATAAACCATGTAGCTAAAATAATAGTGATCTAATATGGATCACACTCAAATAATATATACGAGTATAAAGTATAAACTATTGTTTTTTGTTTCAACTATAATATTTAGATTTGGTTTTATGGAAAATCATAAAACAGCTGTACTTATGCATTTTTATTTAGTAGTATATTTTACGAAAAATCATAATTTTTTCGCTTATCATTATATAATAGGTATATTATAAATATACTTACATATTTAAGTAAACAGGACTTTAATAAAGAAATGGTGGTAACTTGCATTAGAAATGATCGCGCCGCGTGTTAGTAAGTAAAAATGTATGTTATTTTATCATTCACATTTCACACTGAATCATGGACTCGCATTTGAATATAAAATATGATGAATTATTTTGGAACAATAAAATGGAAAACTAATTAAAATTGTAAGCATATAAGTTCAACAAGATTTAAAAATTACCGATGTTGAAGTGTTTATAAAATCATTTTTTTATTAGGTTTTATTTAAAACGAAAAATAAATAATTTTTTTTTACTATTTTTTATAATTAAATATTAGATTATAAAATGATTAAATTATATATTCTTAAGTGTGTTTAAGTAGGATAAGGTTATTATGCTCAATATTATATTTTTCTTTGAATTACCTAAAAAATATGTAAGTGGTAGTAGGTAAGCATATAAAAGTATAACGTAAAATGTAGGCAATATATTACCTACTAAAAAACTAATACTTAGATATTAAGGTAATATTAGTTTTAGTTATTGTTATAAATTATTTACTGTATTATAAATATTTTATGAAGTATCTTATAATGTAATAAATACAAATCGTATAATGTACCTGCGGATATTAAATATATTACAGTTGCATTTACATTTTACGTGTATATTTACGCGATCCTTCAGAGTTGAAGGTTCAGATAATAATAAACATCGCTCTCGTATAAACACAATCGTCGGCCGGCCGCCGGCTACTAATAGTGGGCGTGGCTTAAATACCGCGCGCTTGCGGATCGCGAAAACACCTAAAAGCGCGTTCTATCGGCCGTTGCATACGTTTTACTTTCAGTGTGGCTTCCTCTTAAACAAAATATTTTTAGAACTAAAAACCATAAAATTTGTACAATTGAGCAAAATAAAACAGCACTCGGTGCTCATGACGATAAAAGATTCATACTAGAAAATGGGATTGATACTTTAGCTTGGGGTCATTATAAAACAGAAATACCTAGAGAAAATTTCGTTGACCATATAAATAATTTAATCAAAACTAATAACTCAAAAAAATTAGAGAAAAAGAAATAAGTGAAAAAGACCGCGGAACATAATATAAATAATTTGAAAAAACTGGGGAATTTTTTTGAAATTTAACAAGAAATTTTTATTATTTCAAAATAATTTTGAAATAATAAAGTGAAACGCTAATTTTTTTGTGAAATGATTTTTTGAAATAATAAATGAAACGCTAATTTTTTTGTGAAATTTTTTCGCGAAATAATTTTGAAATAATTATGTGAAACGCTAATTTTTTTTGTGAAATTATTTTTTGAAATTATTATGTGAAACGCAAATTTTTTTTGTGAAATGATTTTTTGAAATAATTATGTGAAACGCAAATTATATGAAAAGATCAACAAATTAGTTTCAAGAGAAAAAGATCAACAAATCAATTTTCAAGAGAAATAGATCAGAGAGGGCCAGGATTAGTGTTTATAAACTATTCACATTCACGTATTTTAATCTTAATATATTTTTTTTTTTAATTCATAATATTGTTAAACCAACATGTTAAAATTTTTTGTTAATTACTTTTTTTTTTATGTTGACACGTTATATTTGCACTCAAGTATTAAATAATAAATAATTAAGAAACAAATATTCGTGAATATACTAAAATGTGTGAACACGTATATAAAATACACGTAAATTCAAATTTATCATTCACGTGTTCATAAACTTAATATTCACTTAATGTATTAATTGACGTTTTTAATCTTGACTTCAAATCTCGTCCAACTGTGTGACACTGCTGTATGGGTGTGCGAGGTGTGAACGATAAAGGCACAAATAGATAATGTTGCTATTTATTGAAAATAAGATATTGAGAAAAATCTGTGATATATTGGGGTGCTGGCGGATAATAATTAACCTTAGAATACAAGAAACTACATAAAAAAAAAAAACCAATTACATAATGGTATAAAAATAAGAATAGTTCAGACGCAATATGAGAAGGGATGAAGCAACAATATAATATCAAACAACTGAGAAAAATTGGCGGATCAAGAATTTATGTTTAGATGGGTTAAGTATTAAGATTTGCGTGAACTTTACAGAATATGGAATGATGATTGGCAGTAAAAGGTGGTGGCAATTAATTTGGAGAATTAAACAGTCAAAAATATATAATTAAAAATTAAAATTAAAATTAAAATATTCAATTTGAAAATAACAATTTTAAAAACTAAATAATGATAACTCACTGAATTGATTTTCAGCCACAGAAATATCTAAATCACCGAAACTAATATCTACGTCCTTCGATTTATTTTTCTTATGTTTTTTGTGGGACTTTTTTATGGAATCGTCTCCTGAAAACAAACGAAAACAATTTCGAATTGATATCTATAACCTTAATTATCAATAAATTAACTATACCTTTATTTTTTTCTTTATGATTATTCGTTTTCTTCTTAAATGTTGATGTAAATGAGCTTATTTTTTCAATGTGATCATTTTCTAGATAACATAGTATAAATTATTATGTGAATTATATTGATATCAATAAGCAAAATTAATAAGTCATCAAGCAGAAAATAACATTCCGATATCATGCTATTACCTTAAAAAATGTTTAGAATCTAAACTTTAGATTGAACAATAATAGACTAATGAAATTAGAGTTTAAATAGTTTTCGATTATTTTCTTTATCTTAGTTTTATTTTTATGGAATTAATGACGATGTGGAGTAAAATGAAAATTTTGTATTAACCGTATGTTAAAAAGAAACCCAAAAATATGTATCATATATTACATATACCTTTATGATTTTGATTTTTATTTTTATTGTAAGACTCAGTGGTTGATTTTGAGGAAGAGGCTTTTAATTTCTTGTTATTAAAACCACCTAGTAAACATATTTATTAATTATACTATTAATAATTATATTTATTACTAAACTGCTATGAGTTATTTACCTTCTTTTTCATAGTTTTTAATTATTTTATTTTTCACTCCAACTGAAGTAGATGAACTTGCTATTCCAGAATTAATACTTTTATCTATAGAAAAACTGGCATTAGAAGTTATCCATAAATCAAAAAATTCAAAAAGTAAATTATTTATAGAAGTATAATAGGGTATTAAAATAATTAATGTAAATAAAATAACTTATTATAACTGATGAAATTAATACAATTTACAAAAATATTTTAATGTTAAAATATTTAATAGAATTAACTAACGAAATTGATTTTTACCAACTAAACTGCCTTCAGATATAATAAAAGGATGTTCTCCAGTCTCATTTTCTAATTTTATGGAAACATTGGATTTTTTTCTTTTTTTCTTTTCTTCTATATGCAAAAAAAAATGTATATATATAGTTAATTAAGTCGATGAAAATAATATAAGAATTTTATTAATGATTCTACAGTATGTTTAGTTAATTACCATCATTACTATTTCTTTCAGCATCATCTAAGTTATTTGTTTTTGACGGAGCTGCTGTAGTAACGATCAAACTTACGTTTCTGGACATATTATTGTTTGGCTTTAATTTTGATGTGCCACTTAATCCACAATCTAAATCAAATAAATCAAAATATTATAATAAACGGCATAACTTAATTGTAAGACAATTGCTTCCTTATTGTTGGGAATACACATTAATTGTTTTAATATTTTATTAGCATAACTATTTCTTAAGAAATATTAATATATAAATTGGATTTTCGAAGATTTTCAAAGAAAAAAATAACAATTTTTTGTTAAAAAGATAATATATCTCCTGCGCCACTGATATACCATCACTGATTTGCAAATAGGTTATAATTTCATTTATTGTTTCGAAAATAGCTGGAAGAATTTAATTGGTTGCTTGACAATCTTATTGCTTGGCACATTATATATTATAAGAATTTAAATGTTTATAAAAATCTAATTAGCTCATATTGACATACCTTAATAATATTTAGCAGTTATAAATTAATTTACATTGAACATTGGTTAATTTATAAAATCAAAAATAATTTTCCTCTAAAAAAAAAAAATTAAAATATTGTTATGAAATCTATTGTTCTTATAAATTCCATATATTAAAATATGTAAAACATAAAAAAGCAATATAGACAGGAGATATATCTAACTACATATTTATAAAGTTGAGGGTATAACATGATAAATTATTCAGTAAAATGTAATGGGAAGGATTTTATCAATTTACTTTCTTAATCTGATTTCATTAATTTAATTTTTAGTTGCTAAAATAACTTTAAAAACAAATTCAATGGATTATATAAACATGGATAAAAAGATATAAATATAAATATTAATTAGAAATTTAATTATTATTTATATTGATTTTATTAATGCATACATTTAGTATTACAATTGTATAAAATATGAAATTCAATATTCTTACGAGACTAAAATATTGAATTAATATTATTTATGGCAAGTATTAAGTTAAAATTCTACTGTGGCCTGTAGAGAAAAAATGTTAATAACTTAACTACTTTTAGAAATAAATTCATGTCTAACTAGGAAATTCATCTACAATAAATATAATTTAATTAAAATGTATATAATAATAATGATGAGTAATAATGATAAATGTAAGTATTACTGTATAAAATTGAAAAATTACAAATATCTTACCTGGTTTATTAAAGGTATTATTCTCCGGATCAATAACATTTTCCAACTTAATGCAAAATTTTGAATTGGGTCCATTTGTATTTTCATCTATAGTTAAAATATAAATAACAAAACACTTATAAATATGGTCTTTACAACATTTTATAATTTTTAATATTACTATGAGTAGAATTCTTTTCACAGTTATTCGATATTTGGTCATTGTTCAATAACTCTGTCCTAACAATTAAACTCGTATTTCCCGAAGAATTTGTTTCTAAAATTAAAAAGATAAAAAACATACACAAATTATATATATTTTAGAATTGTTTTAGTATATTTGTTTTTTACTACATTACCATTTATAGTATCTCTTTCATTAGAATCTAAATTCTTTTCATGATCTGGCATAGGTGTTACAATAGCTGTTACACTGCTGATACGACATGGACCATTATTGTATAATCCTAAAATTCTATTTAAAACACAACCTACAGAAAAAATTGAAAACATACAATAAAATGATCAATAATATTAATTCAAATTACTACATACATAAACAAAAATTTCAATATCATAACATCTTAGGTATATTTAGATTAATGAATTCATGGTAAAATAGCAGTTTTAGATTAATAAATAAAAACAAAATAAAATGTTCTAAGTTTAAGTTAATTATAACTTACATGACTTATCACCATTTGATTCTCCGATTGAAAAATCTTTTGAATTATTAAAATCTTGTTGTTGACCTTCCATAATTGAATGCTCTTCTGGTTTAGATGATGTTGTGACCTCTTCTTCAAAATAATTGTTTTCGACTAGATAAAATAATAAATATAAATTAACATCAACTAATAAATTATCAGTTTAATATAACTAGGATTTAAAACAATACCCTCTATGGAACATCTGTCATCTTCTAAATATGTTTTAGGATATGGCTCTTCTATTGTTATATTAGTATTTGTAGTTTCTAATGAATTACATTTCTTTAAATTTAAGTCATTATATTCTTCATAAGCTAAAAGGAATCCAAATATAAATAAATATATATTTACAAATATAGATAAAACTGAATTTAATCGGATTAATTTAAACACAACAAAAACCCCAAAAAAGCATAAACTTAATTCATTTAAAATATATGTATATAGTTATTAAGCTGAGCTTTTTTTAATGTTAACATATCAAGTACTTGCTCCCTTTACACAAGCAATTAATGATGAACAACATTTTTTATATTAATCATTATATCATATATATAAGGGCAAAATTATTTATTATTTATTGTATTATAATTGATTTTAATTTGTTAAGAAAGTATAATAAATTAAAGGCAATTTCAATCATTATGAGATAATGAAATGGGACATCGTAGGAACCTTTTTATGGTTCCCTTGATAACTGCAAGAAACTATGGATACGCTAAAAAACGACTTTTTTCTTTTGCTTACCACCATTTCAACCTTTTCTCGCTGACCAATCCTATTAAATCCAATCAATGTGACTATAATCCGGATATAAAAGGCCCTTTTTAGAGCTAATTATAAAATTGATTTTGTCAAATATCTAGGAACTAATAAGACAAAAGGAAATCATTTTAGCTCATATATATAAAGAAAATAAATATGATATTATCCTGCGAGTTTAAGAAACGTACAGAGTCCAACAACAGGCAAAACCAAAGGTTGAATAGATGTGATTAGTGGCAGATAAACCGAATAACATACAAGACGTAACATACAAGTTTACGTAAGACTTGGGATGTAAAGTGTTGTTGTTAAGTCGACAACAGTTACAGAAGCAAATGGCTTCGAAATAATTAGTGTATAACAAGAAAAATGAATGGTGACTTCATTGCTTAAGTCCCCAAACGTACCATTTATATTTGAAAAGCCTAGAAATATTAGCTGTGAAAATATAAATGTAAAATTTTAAGATTTTATAGCAGAAATATAAGCTGGGAATACCGTATCGGACAGATAAAATGTAGAATGCTGATTAGATGCAAATAATCTTAATTTTCTTCACGGTCCTTAACTCTCCTGTTCATTTCTGAATGGAATGTTGAGAAGGGGATAAAATCCCGACAATATCAGAAAAATCAGTCAGATATATAAAAAAAGTATTATTAAACATATACTTAAATTTCAACATAGGCCAATTATGATTCAAATACAAAAGGCGTATAAAGGTAATTCGCTTCGACGTAGTGTACCCTGGGTAACGTCCTAAACAACTAAAGAATTATCACCACCGGCTGCTGTACTGTTCTTAGAAACTCACAGCAATCACGAGCAACAATAATTCTCAACCAGAAAACAGTCCGTGCAATAATAAATTCCCCTAGAAACATTTTGCTACTGAATTACACGTATGTAAATATTTTAAATTCCCTTGAAACATATTGCTACTGAATTATTATATTAGATATTTATATTTTTATATTATAATTATTTGGCATTATCCAGATAACAAAACCACTTGGAGGTAGTTCCATTATTCCCCAAAAATTGTTTTTTTTTCTGGTATGAGCATTCTTATTTGTATATTTGTAGTGATTGTAACTATATTATCATATATTTTTTTATTCTAATCATCAATAGTTCTTATTAATTTTGTGATATTAATATTTGAATAAATAATAATGTAAAACTAATTTTATACATTGGAACTTAGTAACTATTTGTTGTTTATAATTTTCTATTAGCTGATTTAATAACTTATGTCGTATTTATGTGTACCTAAATGTATTATAAACGTTTATGATATGGTCCATCTTTTCAAATTATAGGGTTTTAAAATAATATTTCATATTTTATAGTGGCATAATTCATTAGTATGTTCAACAAAAACCAGTTTATTTTTTAATAGTTTATTCGTTATATAGAAACATATTCGTTGTACAGAGATAAATTTACTCGTGATTTATAACGAAGACCAAGGTTTGCAAAAATATTTTTTTAAACATAAAATTATGTTAAAGAGTAGTTTTTTATAGAACAGTTTTAATTTTAAAATTAGGGGAGTTTACATACGCGTAATTGAGTAGGAACGAAAAATTCTACTGTTTTTTAGACAACTGTACAGTTCATAATAACCCCTCACCTTTAACTAATATAGAACTTCAATTTTTTTCCTCCTAACACCACATCGAAGTTGCAACCACTCGACCAAGGTATAATTAAGAATTGTAAAACTTTTTACCGTCAAGAAGTTGTAAAGAATGTTTTGGAATGCATTGAAAGTGAACAAACGCCAAACATTAGTGTATTGACTGCTATGATATTTGTTGATAAGGCATGGAAAAAAGTGGCTCCTTCTACGATACTCAAGTGTTTTAAAAAATCGGGATTTACCATAAAAATTCAAGAAACAGAAAACGACCAGTTAAATATTGAATCGATACAATGGAATTCCCTGCCAACTCAAGAAAATGTATCTTTCACTGATTATGTCAATGTAGATGAAGATGTTGCTGTATGGGGAGTCTTCTCTGACGCCGAAATTTTGGAAAATACATTAAGCATTGATGAAGACAATGAAGATGACACAAGTCCTCTACCTCTTGTGACTTTAAAAGAAGCCAGTTTATCCTTGGAAAAATTACGAAATTTCTCGCTCCAGTCAGAAGTCACTGTTGAGGTTTTTGATGCTTTATTTACTATAGAAAATACTATTGAAAAAATTAAACTAAATTCAATGAAGCAGAAAACCATAACAGATTTCTTTAAAAAAATAATAATCTTTTATAATAATAATAAATAATTAAAAAGGTTAATATTAATAATAAATAACTCAAATATGTATGCCGTATCACCTACTTTACTGAAATAATTAATATGTATGTATGTATGTACAATAATAAAAAACAAAATTTTTTTCTTAACTCTCTATAATTCGAATTTTTTTTTGCCCTCTCGTTATTTCGAACTACTCAACAATTCGAAGTTTTTTAGCAGTCCCGTCAATTTCAAATTATCGAGAGTCGACTGTATATATTTTTTGTAATTTTCGATGTTAATATTTATTTATAAATTATTTGAAATATACGTCTAATAAGACTCAAAACAGTTATTGTACTTAATATTAACATAATAAAATTTAGAAGAAACAGTGACTTACTATTAATACAATTAAAACAAATGAATAATACAATATAAAGTTAATTTATACTAAACAATCTATAAATACAAATATAGTTACAAAAATAATTTATGAGTTAGAGCAGGACTTTAATTTGGCTAAATTGTTGTAGAAGAAATTAAAATTTTTTATTAAATTACCTTATGTGAGCATTATTTTTAATTATATTGAAATATCAAGTTAATCATGTTATGAATTGTGAGTAAATTATATTTTATTAAATGCAGTTTTTTAACAACTATTGCCTATACTCGTACTCTAATAACGACATAAAAAATAACAGAAAAGTATTCTAGTATCAATATTGTTTTACAACATAACATACTAAAGTTATGATGTCAATTATTTCATAATCAATATTTAATTTAAATGAAATACACCTACTTGGTTTATTATGAACAGAGGTACTCCTTGAATCAACAAAAATATCTTCATTTTCCAACATTAATTGTTCCTCAGATATAGATGTAGTAACCTCTTCATTTAAATTATCAATCATTACTAGCGTAAAATAATAATATTAAATTAGTGTTATGAAATAAACTATTTTTCCTAAATAGGTATACCTCCATCTGTTCCTATAATAACATTTTTAGTTGAGGGGTTACAGTTTTTGAAATTTGAGTTGTTAAGTGCATCATAACCTTAAAGAAGATAAAAAAAATTTTTTTTTACCAAATAGTACTTCGTGAATAACTAGTCTAGTACAAAAAAAATAGTTATTCTCCATACTAAACCTATTTTTGAATTTAAACAAAAATTATTATGAATACACTTAATTAACTTGATCTTACTTGATTCATCATTGACAGAACTATCAGTTTTAATAAAATCTTGTATATCATTCAAATTAAATTGCTCCCCTTGTACAGAAATTGTTTCACCGTCTTCAAAATTGTCATTTTCTACTGAATATAAATATTTAAGAATTATTTTAAAATTCAAGTTAGTAAAGGTAAATTTTACAAAAGTGTAGTGCGGCCAACTATGCTATATGGTTCGTTTCGTAATTTAGGGATGTTAACAGCAGAATAGAACAGAGAAAAAGTGTTGCAGAAATGAAAATGCTTAGATGGATGTGTGAAGTGACAAGAGAAGATAGAATAAGGAACGAATATATAACAACATATATAATGCGACAAAAAGAAACAAAAGCAGTAAAAGTGGTTATGAAAATTAATGTTGATAGGATAAGAGGAAAGACCAAAAAAGTGATGGTTGGATACGATTGAGATCGTATTCTCAAATGATATAAGGGCTGTTTATGAGCATAGGGGATGTAGAAAATTTACACGAGTGGAGGTTTAGGACAAAGGTGACTGACCCCAAATAGTTGGGATAAAGGTAAGGAAAAAAGAAAAATTAGTTTAAAATTAAAATATTCATATCAATGTACATGTGTATAATTAATAAATAAACAATTTTTAATTACCATCTGTTGAATGTCTTTCATCAGTTAAATTCATTTCTGAATGTGATGTATCTGTTGTTATTAATAAAACTGAAGTATTTGACGGATTTGTGGTTTTTAATTTTGAATTGCTATGTACTTCTCCAACTAAAGAATAAAATAATATATTTTAACAAAATTACCTAATTATCAGAAAAAATTATAATAAAATTCAAGCTCAAAATATATATTTATAATAAGTATTAATTCCATTCCTGGAAAATCTTTGTCAAAGTACACTTAAATAGTGCATCACGTGAACCTTATGAAGGTTAAACATTTTGGTGTTATTGCGCATAAAAAAAAAAAAAGGTATATATATTAAAAAAAAAATTCGATGTACCGAAGAAGAAACAAAACTTTAAAGAAATATTCTGTAGTATAATTTGAATGAAAAAGTAATACTTCTATTGACTAAGCTATTATGAAAACAATGTAGATCCTATTTTCAAAATATGTTATATATATATATATATATATAATTCTACTGTACGTGTGTGTGTGTATCACTCCTCCTAAATGGCTGGACCGATTTGAATGAATTTTTTTGTATGCATTTGTATGACGACCTGGGTGGTTTAGAAAAAATTAAAGTGATAGGCTCAATCCCGGGAAGTGCTTAAACGGACATTTTGAGATTTTGAAATTTTAGTTTATAGATGGTTGATATGGTTATTATTAGTTTTCATTATTTGTACGTGCGTCTATAGGATTAAATTGCATAAAAAAAAAAATGCATTATAGCCACCGCATCATTTTTTAATAAAATATTAATTTAATTTTTTGTACGCAGTGTTTTGTTTGATATTATATGTATCGAATTTACGTAAATATTGAACGTATTATATTCAGATACAAGTTACGTACACTAAACAATGCTACGTCTCGTGGACAAAGAGGAAATATTGGTCGACGGACTCGGAATTCACAATTAGTCTAGAACAGTCGATTAAAGAGATTGCAAACGATAGGTTATTTTAACTAAAATATACCAATCTTTTGTCAACTGTAACAATCGATCTAGTTATACAATAAAAATGTTGAAAACTAATTTGAATTTGGCTTCATGTTTACTTTAGATCAATCAGTCTACATTTCCCAATGTCACTCTTTAAATATTATAAATTTGATTTAAATATTTTCAAATTTTCAATTTTTTTAACGTTGATTATTCAGATTTTAATAAGAAATCTTAAAATGTGGACTGATCGATCTCAAGAAGACATTATAACAAATTCAGAAATATTATCGCATCATTAGATTGGATGGTAGAATTGACAAAAACTACATACTTTTTGTCAATTCAAACATTAAGTTCTGTATCGTTCATGCGCGCGACGCGATTATGATGACTTGTATGTGCGCGTGCAGAAGCTATGCTTATCGCATGTCACGGACTCATTCAACGAGTAAGGGTTAATGCACGCAGTTCAAAAATATTCTAACAATTATAAAATGTACACCCTCAAAAAATATCTAATCATTTAAGTTGTAAGTTATAAATTAAAGAAAATTAACAAGGTAGGTAAATTAAGAGAAAAAATAAATAAATATCTGAAATAAAATAATTTAATTATTGTCATTAATTCATAATAAACTCAAAATACATGTATAGGTATAGAAATGAAAAAAAATATTTATATAATGCCATAAAAATATTTTTAACTAACGTTGATTTTTGGGCATTAATAGTGTAACAATAAACAGTTTTACCTCATAAATGCATTAAAAAACCAAAAAAAAAATCATCCAATATAGATATGTAACTTCAAGTTAATATTTCATATTATATACTTATACTAATATAAGGCTTTTACCTATAAATACATAAGTATTATAACAAATCAACAAAGGTTTAATAATATGCAAAAAAAATATGGTGTATTAATATTATATATAGTTAATTCGACACATATTGGAAATACTACTATTAACTCTCAAAATATAATAAAACTTTTTTAAAGCATTAAATGCACTTACTTGACTCTACACTATCAAAACTATCTTTAGAATTAGCAAACTCTTGTTGAATATTCAACTGTAAATGTTCTTCAGATTTAGTAGTAGTAACCTCTACATCATTTTGATTACTCTTAACTAAATAATAATAATTGATTATAAGTAACAAAATATAAAAATTTTCATTAATACATTTTGAATAACATTTAACATTACCATTTTTAGAATATCTTTTATCATCTTGTTTTTTTATTGGGTATAAGTCTTCTGTTACAAAATTTTCATTTGAGCCTGAAGAATAATTTTTCTTTACATTTGAGGTTTTGTATACCTCGCAACCTAAGAGGTAAAACAATTTAAAAAATAAAATAAATATTAATTGACAGCCAGTAATAAAAGGCTTTCATAATAAATTATTATTGAATGTTCAATGTTTAAATACAGTGAAAGATATAAAATTTATTACCAATCAAATTATTTCTTTTTTTTACAATTGCCTTAAGCAACTAAGACAAGATATAAATAATAAATTAATGAATTAAGCTTTAATAAATACAACAAAATGAGTATAAAATAATGAGCTATACATAGTATATATTATATATACCCACAAAAAAATTAGTGTTTTCTTAGCCCAAAGTACTTTATATTACAGCTTCTTATGATTAAGTAACTGCTATTTAGCAAGTTGATAAGTCTTTTAGTAACTACATTAGTGTCCAACCCTAAATCTATTCATATGTTATTTAGCATGCATCTTGATTTCTTCCTAGATGGTTGATATCTTAAAATTACAATAGATGATGCCATTTCTATAAAACCAGTATATGCTACAACAATGGTTCGAATTTGAACTATTTTGTACAATTTTTGCAACATTAAATTACTCTAATGTTAGATTTTCTGACATAACTCTAAATAATATGCTATGAATCCAAATAGATTTGGGTACTTTTTCTAATATTCCAGAACACAATCCATATGTAGAATAGTTTTATAAATATGTAAGGAAAATAATAGTTTTTTCGGCAATTATTTAAATATGTATGGGTATATGGTATCTCATTAATACCAGTTACCATTAAGGTTGATACGAGTATTAATATAAGAAATAACTTCTCTAGAAGAAGTTATATATGTCATATCCAGTTTTATCAAGTGGTCGATATTGTATCAAATCATCTATTTCTGAAGTTATAACAATCCATTAACTACGTTTTCTATGTGAAGAGTATGTACTTTGGCTTTATTTTGTTATCTGTATATCCAATTTCTATTTTCTTTTAGTATAAAGGATACACAAGCCCACACAAGTTTTTTTAAATGGCTTGTGGTTTTTTCATGGTAAATAATTGGTATGTTCTGTCGTGATAAGTCTTTCAAATATGATTTGAATGTTAAATATTTTACTACTTTGATTTTATTGAGAAAAACCCTATAGATGCGATTACAATCTGTCTTAAAGGCTAGGTGTCTCTTGTTTTGGAATAGTTTATTTTTGCTTAGCTCTTTTTTTATCTTCTTTTTTTTTTTTTTTGAACATTATATATACATTTTCCATTTAATAAACTATTTCTAGATTACTACCTTTAGAAACTTCATGTGATATTATTTTCGCATGTTCAAAAATATTAATAATTAATTTAAGTACCGATAGTTCGATATCAGTTAATGTTTTAACTTAATCGGCTAAAGCATTAAGATTTGGGAAAAGATTATAAAGAAGAAAATAAGAAACGAGACATCAATATTGTAAAATTAGTTTGGTTTTTTTAGCTAGGAAAATCGACCATGGAACCATTATTTTGTGTTAGACAACTAGTAGAGAAATTTAGGGAAAAGAAAAAATTATACATAATGTATATAGATTTAAAAAAAGGTGTATGAAAGAAAGAGTGCCACAAAAAGTTTTAAAGTGCGCTTTAATGAAAAAGAAGGTCCTAAAAAAATAATTTAAATTTGATTCAGGATATAAGACTCAAGAATTTGTGTAAAGAGTTTAAGTAACAGAAAATTTTAAAGTAGGAGTTGGTGTGCATCAGGGGTTGGTTCTAAACCCTTATTTGTTCTCTGTGGCAATGGACGAAGTTGCAAAAGACATACAGGGCGAGTTACCATGGTGAATGATATTTGCTGATGATATAGTATTGATAGGAGAAAATCTGGAAGAAGTTAATAATAGGTTGGAAAAGTGGAGGTCAGCCCTTAAAGAAAAGGAATTAAGAATTGGTTGGAATAAAACAGAGTATATGGAGTATGACTTTGAAGGAAGATACCAAAAATTTGAGGGTATAAGGAGACCAATAACAATAAATGGTTATGTGATAGGTGAAGACAAGAACTTAAAATATTTAGGATCATTTGTACAAAAGGATGGAAATTTTGGTATGGATGTAAAACATAAGATTGAGTGGGATTGAATGAAATGGAGAAAATCGTCAGACATTTTATGGAATAAGAGATTTTAAATGAGGCTGAAAGGTAAATTTTACAAGAGTGTAGTGAGAGACCAACTATGCTAAATGGTTTGTTTCGTAGTTTTGGGATGTTAGTAGGAGAATAGAACAGAGTATGAGTGTAGTGGAAATGAAATGCTTAGATGGATGAGCAGAGTGACAAAAGATAGTATAAGGAACAATTATGTGACAGGGTGTACAAGTATAATGAGACGAGAGATAACATAAGCAATAAGAGTGGTTATGAAAATGAACGTTGATAGGAAAAAAGTAAAGACCAAAAAAGAGATAGTTGGAAACGAACTCAATCGTTTTCTCAAATGATATGAGGGCTGTTAATGTGTGCATAAGGGATGTAGAAAATCGAGACGAGAGGAGGTTTAGGAAACAGGTGGCCGACCCAAATAGTTAGGAGAAAGACGAAGAAGAATTTAAGCCTCAATATTTTTATGTTGATTGATATTTTACTTAAGCGTTCAACTTAATGTTTAACTTAATTGAAAAAGTAGTTTTTTTTTCAAGTACTTAAAAACATTAGAGCTGAAATTATAATAGGGATGCGGTCAGTTCTGTTATTGTTTCAAATTCAACATAATTAGAAGAAATACCTTTAATTTTATAGTAGTCAAGTAGACTAAGGAAATATATTAGTGCAGATTCAATTGACCAGAAAGTTGGCTTTCTGATATAAATAATTTCAGTGTTGACGGTGTCAGTTATTTTAAAAAGCACAATCTATATGAGTGATTTCTCTTGATGCCTAATAGAGAGGAGTAATTGGTATAAAGTATCCAACAACAATGAATCGGTCTTCTAGTTGTTTGGAAAAATGCAAATAATACGAATTTCATCTGCACAAACTTGGAGTAGGTAAGTCTTAATTGTCATTTATTTGAATACTTATATCTTGTATGTGTGGTTCCGAATGTTTTTCAATCTAAAACTGCTTTATTTATCTTGTAATTATAGCCATAATTTGTCATTCTATACTCATGTAGAGTGGTGCAAATAATATATATTTTAATTTCAAGAAGAATTCTTACAGTAATGTGGACTTTTGAACTAAATGCAATCTTATTTTAGTGTAAGGAATCTACAAGTTATTGATTACACTATACTTCTATGCAATAACTTATCCAATCTAAATTTAACACATTTTAATGATTTTGTTATTTTAATGTGGGTACATTTTTTTACACAATATTTATTCAAAACTATGCATTAATTTGGCACCAGGGAAAACAGAATATTTATGCTGATAGTTTAATAAAACATGACAACTAATATAAAGATAAAGGATTTGTTAGTTTTAATAAATTAATACAAAATAAATATTAGGGCAGTAAAACAATTAAAAGAACCACTTACTTGATATCTCATCAACAGGAATATTCTCCAAGTTCTTGTCATTAAAGGGCAGCATAAATTGTTGTTCGGATATAGAAGTACTGACCTCTAGATTAAAAAATGTACATGATTATTATATTGGTAATATAAATAATTTGAATTAATTTTGAAGTATTACCGTCAGTTAAATGTTTATTGTCTTCTTTATTTTTTTCAAGTCTTAAATCACCTGAAATATTTTCAAATATAATTTTTGATGATCTATATTACTATATAGCTATATAATTATAATAGAAAAATATGTTAAATGCATATTTGTGCACTACAAGTTAAAACAGTTAAAACAAATATATTTAAAATAATTTATTCAATTTAGGTGTGATAACAAATTGTTGTAATTGTTATCAATGTTAGTAATAAAATGATGATTTTCTTTAATAAATTAAAATACTCTTAGAATTAGATACAATCGTTTATAAAATTCAATTATAATATAACTTACTATAGTAAAAATCTAATTTTCAATACTATTGTACATATTTATTAATATATCAACAATTTTAATGATATAATGGTAATGAAATACTAATTGACACATGTAAAATTATTCAATTCAAATATATTCTAAAACAAATTAATATTAGAAAAAGAAAATGTAAAAATAAAAAAAGCGAAATTATAACAATAGTAAATTAACATTGCTAAAAATTTGCTATACTACTAAATAATAATCATTAAATAATTTAAGGTTTAAGTTTTAATAATAAAAAATCAATCACCTTACAATTTATTATAAGTAAATAATAATTTTTAAATCATAAATTTAACATTTTAATAATTACTGTATTTTGAAAACCATGTACATATAATGTGCTGGTCATGGAAAGTAGAATAAATTTATCAATCACTGATCAATAAAACCCATTAGTAAGTAACCCAAGAGAAAATCCTGGCAATGGTGAGAAGATAAAGTGAATTTAAACATAAAAACAGCAGAAAAAAACAGTAAGACTTTATATTTCAACGGACTGTGAAGATGAATGAAGAAGTAAAAGGCATTTATGAACATTAAAGTAGAAAACTTGAGTAAAAATAATTGATGAAATAATTCATGGATGATGTTCCACCATATCAAATTTATCATAGAAACTCTTTACTTTGCTAAAAAAATAATAAATACATAATAATTTATATATTTAATGATATATAATAAATAATTATAGTCAATTTAATCAATTTAATTTAATTTAGTAAATTAAACATTAAATTGGAATGAATTGCAAGACACGACCGATATTATTATGATAAACATAACTATGATATACTTAACTGCAATAAATTCAATACAATGAATTGATACACAATCCTCATGCATTCTCAGAATAGATTTTAGCACATTGGAAAACAAAATAATTTATTCAAATTAACTTACTTGATTCATGAATAATACATATGCCCTTCGCATTTATAAAATCATCTTGGTTATTTAACATTAATTGTTCAACTGGTTCAGACGTAGTCACCTCTATATCATAATGATCATTATCTAAATAATAAGTTATATATTAGTAAAATATAATAATATCTTCTACCAATTTAAGTAAAATTTGTTATACCACTGTTTAAACTAGTACTTTCTTTTTCTAAATTATTTTCAAGAAAAGACTCTTTTGTTGTCAAATTTGTATTTGTGATTTCTGTTGGATAACTTTCTGTTTGTTTTATGGTGGCATCTATTTTACAGCCTAAAATTTAGATAAATAATATAATATTCATATAATAAAAATATGTACTCGTCTGTAATTACTTATCTAATCTACTAACAACTTAGTATAAAGAATTTAAAATACACAATATGACCGTGGCTGGCGTTGCAACATCTGGTAATAATATTATAACGTAACAATATTATAAAATTAATTGACTTAACTAATAATTCACCAAAATATATTGTTCATTAATATAATGATGGAAAAATAATGATACACAATTTTTCATCAACAAATATTCAAGTTACCATCTGATCAGTAGTTTAGCGTGTCTGTATCTAATAAGTGTAATTTATTATATATTTTGTTTACCAGCGTAGTATAAGTGGTGAACCCATCACGCAATAGACCATCTAGGTTAGATTAGAAACAGATTATGTGCTGGGTTAACAACCCGGCTATTTAAAAGAAATTTTTATCAACATTCAAATACCAAGCTGTTGCGGTCGTTATCGCAACGACCACGCGTTAGAGATCGACGTCCACCAACGTGACCGAACCGGTCTGGCCGCCACCGGTGGTGCGAGCCGTCGACCCAGCCAACAGCGGACGACAAGCTTCAACTTTCACACGACCGTTGATTTGTCAACAACGGCTTGACAGTCCGTGACTTTATTACTGTTTATTATTTAAAACTAATTGTTGAATAAAAGACTTGTCTTACTTAATCACGTGTGTACTACCTCAAAAGTCCTTACACCTACAAAGCCATAAATTAGATTTTACAGAAAAAATAAAGAAATCTAAAATTTTTAAGTGGTAAATGGACTGTAAGGAGCTTGTACAAATCAGGAGCAATATTAGCTTTAGTAAAGAAGAAAAATACAAGATGAAGTGTAAGCCCAGTAAGAAATTAGATGGGAAGATGCTGGAAAATTGAATAGTAACCATTAAATAGAAATTCAAAATAGTTTAGAATCTTTACAGATTTCACAGCTTAAAACCCGTTTTTTCCATATAAAAGTCAGTCCATATAGTTAGAGAAGATATAAACCAAAGAATTTCAACCATGACAGTAAAAACTGAACACTTTTATGTACTTTTAATCAATACACATGCACCTAGAGAAGAGAAAAAGATGAAAACGAAAAAGTTTGTTCCAATGCAACTTTAGCGCTATTGGCTTCTTTAAATAGTAGTGTGAAAATAATGACAGGCGATTTCAATGGTAAGTTAGGTCGTCGAAAGAAATCCTATAGAAATCATAATTATACGCAAAATACAAAAACAGTTATTTGATTCTAATTGATTTTGCAGTAGGAAAATGTTGATAGTAAAATTGCTAAGTAGTACGTGTTTGGACTTCATAGCAACCACGTATGTAATATTTTCGCATTCCGTTTAATTAGGTCCCAAAAGTAGTATACTTTAATCACAGCGCATAGAATTTGTTAATGTATATTACTTAGAACATAGTCCAAGCTCATTTCATAGCGGGATCACATATTGTCATAATGGACAATAATAAGTCTAATAAATAAGAAAAAAACCTATTCTTAAGATGGTCAACATCGAACACTAAGCCTCAAATCAATTTTTAATTAATAAACGTCAAACGCATCAAGCTCTCTCAATTACCCAAACTTACTTAAATCTCATCAAAAAGTTTGGTATAGTTATTTATATCAGCTAATGCTACTTTTTTAAATTAATTAATGGGTTAAACACACAAAAAAAAAACGTTCCCTAAAACTACGAAAAATTACTCATTCCATAAAAAAGATCGAGTAATGATATTTAACACAGTTCATAAGATTTTCCAAATAGAACACTTAAAGTATTAAGCACATTAACTAGCCCTTCAAATATTAAATTCACTTCAGGAATACCAAATATCTTTTTCTTGTGAATTAAAAACGACGGCTACCAACGATATATTAAGAGGTTATAGAAGATATAACATCCCTTGCTAATTCAAGGAGTGAAGCACATTAATGAGTGAGTATGAAGAAAGTGGATGTGATTTCACCACGGACAGACTCATGAGACTATTTGACGAGGAAAGAAGGTTTAGATGGCAATCAGCTATGGACAAACTGAATTTCACCCACGCATACTGTCAGACAGGAATTTCAGTCAGCATTAATGGGTGTATAAACCCTCTTCGAAATGATCTCCCCAAGACTTGTCCCAATCTTCCGTTCTCTTCAATGTTTACACAGCGGATGTCTCGAAAAAAAAACCTCAAGAAAATTTTTTTATGCCGATGATGTGGAACTAAGTGGCAAAGAGAAAATCGTTTAAAGAATTAGAGAAAATGTTCAGTAAGGACCTAGTTAATTTAAAACAGTACATTAACAAATAGCATATAAAACTAAACACGAGTAAAACTGTGACTACAAATTTTTACCTAAACAATATGGAGGCAAGAAGATTGTTCCAATTTACCAAAAACAAAGTTATTATAACAAATGACGAGTGCCTACTCTATATAAGAGTTAAACTAGACAGAATACTTATTTATAGACAACATACTGTTGCTATGAAGAATAAACTAAAGTCCAGAAACAGCATCATCGCTAGACTTGCTGGGACGAGTTGTGAATGCAACACAAATGTCTTAAAAACATCAACGTTAGCCCTATTGTATAGTGTAGGAGAGTACTGCGCTCCAGTTTGGACGAGAAGCGCCCTCTGCAACAAGATTAACATAAAATTAAACCAATTCATGCGAATTATAACTGGGACGGTTAAAAGTACACAAACGCAATGGTTCCAGTTCTCTCCAAAATATTATCACCTAATCTACGTAAAGGCGGCGTCCTTTATCCTTGAACAAATTAAAACAAAACGGACCTTCCAGATCACAGCGATGTTTTTATTCACCTAGATAAAAGACTTCAGTCAACGAGACCATAGGACAAGAATCCCCACAGAAGCTATGGAAGAAAGAGTCCGGCGTGAAAAACAACTACCCGCTTGACGACCCAAACACTAAAAACCACCTGGTTTTGGGCTGCTTCAATCAATTTTGACAACATTAAACAGAATTCACTCTAACCATTCACAAGAAAGGTGATAAAACTGAATGTAGAAATTACAGAGTAATAACGCTTCTAAACTCAGCATATAAAGTATTCTCCAAAGTTCTACTGAACCATATAAGTCCCCATATAGAAGAAAACCTAGATGAATATCAATGTGGTCTTATGAAGGGGAGGTTAACTATTGAACAAATTGCAATTATAGGTCAGATCATAGAAAAGAAATATGAATTTCGACAAAACCTCTGACAGATATTTATAGACTTGAAAAAGCCTACGATAGCGTTCACCAAGGCCCTGTACAGTGTAATGACTGAATTTGGAATACTCAGGATGTGTATGGAAGGAACACAGTATCAAATCAGGGTAGATCAGACAACCTCCGAAACATTTACAATGGAAACAGGGTTATAACAAGAGATTAGTCTCCACTATTGTTTAATCTAGCTCTAAAGAATGCGGTCAGAGATGCAAAAAGAGAAGTTGGGTGTAGAAATAAATCAGCAAAAAATTCAAATCTTAGGTTTTGCTGATGATCTTAACATTATAAGCAATACCAGAGATGACACAAAGAAAGCAGCGAGTTTTAGAAAAATCAGCAAATAAAATAGGTCTAAAAATAAACATCGAAAAGACAAATATCAGAGAGTTATTAGACACGGATACAGATTTAACGGACCCTAATTCGGAGGACTGGATATATGAAAAAGTTAATGAGTTTAAATACCTTGGCGTATGTATAAATACAAAGAATGACTGGTCACAAGAGATTGGATTAATGATAATATAAGCAGGGAAGGCCTCCTTTGCATTATCCAAATTTTTCAAAACTAAAATGCTGTCAAAAAAAACTTAAGTTAGACTCTACACAGTGATAGTGAGAGCTATATTAACATATGGATGAGAAGAATGGACAACTACAAGCGTAACAGAACGAAGGCTTACTACCCTTGAAAACAAGATATGGCGTGTGATATATGGACCAAAATTAGACACGAACACTGGTATGTGGAGGAGAAAGGTAAACAAAGAACTAATTGAAAAAACAGAAACGACTCCAATAAAATATTACATAAGATGCCAGATAATCCAGTGGTTTGAGCACATTATGCATGGAAGTGACAATAAGATAATCAAAACAGTAATATCCCTTGGATACCAACGGGTAAAAAAATACGAGGACGTCTGAGAAAAGATGGATGGATGTGGTCGAGGAAAGAATCTAAAAAGGATAGGAATAGATGATTGGAGAAATATAATCCATGATGAAGTGAAGAGAAGTGGCGTGAAGTTGTGATGGCGGCAAAAACTCTTATAGAGTAGATAAAGTCAGACGAAGAAGAAGAATAATTGTAATACTTTATATTTCTCGTCAAAACCATAAGTAAAAAAAAAAAGAAACGTTTTGTAGCATTTTCTTTAAAAAAATATATATTAAAAATAATAATACGAAATTTAAGAATTACGAATTATTAAGAATTAAAAATAAGTTTTGATCTTTTTATACTTAAAGCAGGTTTTGTACTAAAATATCATCAGCTCTGACACCTATAATCAATATTAACTCAACATTTAAAAAAAATATTCTAATAAAATATTTTGACTTTATAACATTTTAAAATTCACTTACATGATCTATCCTTAGTGTATATAAGATCTTCAGCACCAACAAACATACATTTTTCGACCATAGAAGTAGAAATTTCATCATCAGAACGATTGATCAATACAAGATATAAATAATTATTAGTAGGTATATTTTCAACTCGTATTATTTTTTATAAATCAATACACATACTATCAGTACTGTACTAGCGTTTATCGATAACGCACGTCACAACGCACGTGCTATTCGATAATCGTAAGTTACCTATCTAATCAGTTTTATTTAAACTTTTCGTTTCATTTTTTTTTTTTTTTTTTTTACGTGTATTATAAATTTCATTATGTAGAATACTAAAAAAGAAACTCCGATGAAGAAAGGCACTAGTA